CTACGCATACAGAGCTTGTATTTCTATTTCCTTACTACTTTAACAGAGCTGCGGTGGCTCAAGTGGTTAAGACGCTGAACTGCAGGCTGTGGAAGGTCAGTAGTTCAGCAGTTCGAGACCCGGGTGCCGCATGATGGAGTGAGCTCCCATCTCTAGTTCCAGCTCCTGCCAACCTAGCAGTTCGAAAGCAAGAAATCGCAAGTAGATAAATAGGTACCACTTCGGTGGGAAGGAAACAGCGTTCCATGCGCCTTGGTGTTTAGTTATGCTAGCCACATGACCACGGAAATGTCTTCGGACAGCGCTGGCTCTTCGGCTTTGAAATGGAGATGAGCACCGCAACCCTAGAGTTGGATTCGACTGGCTTTCGAGCAAGGGAACCTTTACCTTTACTGTTACTACTTTAACCATGGGATTAAATTAAATAAATACAAAGGTTTTACTAATAGACTGTTCATGCAATCCCAGACAGAGTTACAACTACAGATGCACGCACACACAAAAAATAGGCATTTTTGGGTTCAGGTGTATTGAACCCCCCCCAAATATCAGTATTTCCTGATATTGGGTATGATATCAGGATTTGGGAAATAATTAGGATTGCAGATATAATTAGGATTGCAGAATTCTTGTCTTAGTAAGACAGATTTGCTGCAAAGGTGGCAACAAGAACTATCAAAGTTTGTTTGGGCAGGCAAGAAACCGAGAATTAAGATGAAAATACTTTGTGATGCCAAGGACAGAGGTGGACTACAGCTACCAAATCTCAGATTATATTATGAAGCGGTTTGTATGACCTGGTTGAAGCAATGGGTGAAATTAGAAAATGATAAGCTATTGGGGTTAGAAGGTCATGATTGTAGATTTGGTTGGCATGCATATTTATGGTATGACAAAACAAAAATGGATAGCTTTTTTAAGCATCATGTGGTAAGAAAAGCATTATTTGTGGTATGGATGAGATATAAAAAATATTTTGGTGATGTAAGGCCACTTTGGATTGTACCAGTGGAAGTGTTAACATCTTACTCAAGACGTAGAGACAAAGATTGGTTGCTGTATAAAGACATAATAAAAAAAGAGGGAACAGAATGGGTAATGAAAAAGCAGAATGAAATTGAATATGAATATGAATGGTTGAAATACATGCAGATCTCTGACCTTTTTAGGTCAGACAAAAGAAATTATGGTTTTAGAGAGGAAAAAAATGAAATGGAAAAGGTATGGGAGAGTGGAGGGGGAAAAGATATCTCTAAAATGTATAAAGTGTTGTTAAAATGGTATACAGAAGATGAGACTGTGAAAGAGCAAATGTTAAAATGGGCAATAAATATGAATAAGGAAATTGACATAGAAACCTGGGAATATTTGTGGAAAAATGCTATTAAAATATCACCCTGTACCAATGTTAGAGAGAATTGTTACAAAATGATGTATAGGTGGTATATGACCCCAAAGAAAATTGCAAATATGAACCAGAATATGTCAAATAAATGTTGGAAATGTAAAAAACATGAGGGCTCATTTTACCATATGTGGTGGACTTGTGAAAAAGCTACACTCTTTTGGACAAAAGTCCACAAAGAAATGCAAAAAATACTTAAGTGCTCTTTCAAGAAAGCGCCTGAAATTCTGCTTTTGGGACTAAAAATGGAAGAAGTTAACTCGACTAAAAGGACTTTATTCTGGTACCTTATTACAACAGCGAGGATGATTTATGCACAATTTTGGAAGACTGAGAAAGTACCAGAAATCGAAGACTGGATACAAAAAGTTCTGTTCATGGCAGAAATGGATAAAATTACAAAGAAGTTGAATAATCAAGAAGACAACGTGTTTTTTCAAGAATGGAATGACTTTAAAATATATCTGGAAAAGAACTGGGATGTAAAACAAAACTTAATATGTTTAGATCAATATTAAGTCAAATGATGTTATCTTGAGGTTGGATGATAACAAATGATGTGTTAATGATATAATGAAATTTGTAAGAAGGGGGAGAAGCATTGCGGGAAGCCACTGGAGGGAGGGGAGGAAGGGAATGAGGTAAACAATGGACTGAATGATTTAATCTTATATGTTATGTTCCTAAGAAAATAAAAATTTGTTTACCAAGGATTGCAGAATTCTTCTGCCTGGCATTTAAAGGGATTATGGCTTGGCATGTAAATACACTTTCCAAGCCACGGCATGAATAGAACCAGAAGGTTCACGGCTTGCAAATCACATTTGGAGGAACTGCCCTTCCAAATTGTGCACAGATTGGCTTTGGGGGGAAGATCCTAGGGTCCCTGTGCAAAAGGGGAGGGAGTGTGTTGAACAGCCCTCCTACAAGCTAGAGACATCAAACTGGCAGCAGAGCTCCCTGAGATACCCTTCTATCTGCCCTCCAAGTTGTGTGCAGATTGACTTTGGGGGGAAGATGCAGGAGACCTGTGGGGAAAAGCTGAGTTCCCACTGCCCCAGCTGATATTGGGCTGGCTCCTCTTGCAGCTTGGTTTAAACAGTTCTGTGCTACTTCAGCTGAGTCTAGCTTGCTGGAATAAAAGCCAAAAATTGGGGGGGGGGTTGGGGCTGAGCCATTATAAATACCCCCAAAATACTGATAAGGTATTTTTCAGGCATTTCTTTGGTTCGGTTTATACCGAACACACACCTCGAGTCGAAGTGGAGAGCCAGTTTGGTGTAGTGGTTAAGTGTGCGGACTCTAATCTGGGAGAACCGGGTTTGATTCCCCACTCCTCCACTTGCACCTGCTGATGTGACCTTGGGTCAGTCACAAGTTCTGGCACAGCTGTCCTTGAAAAAGAGCAGTTTGTGTCAGAGTTCTCTCAGCCCCACCCACCTCACAGGGTGTCTGTTGTGGGGAGGGGAAGGGAAAGGAGTTTGTAAGCCAACTGAAGGGCGGGGTATAAATCCAATCTCTTCTCTTCTTCTTCTTCTGACTACAATGGATTTAGAAAGGTGTAGCTCTGTTTAGGATTGCACCATACAATGTGAGGAAGATTTAGGTAAACAGTTCTTTAAATAGCTAAGTAATGCACTCATGATGAAATATAAAAATCAGAAGATAAGAGGAAGGAAGAAAGGAAGGAAGATTGGCTGGAGCCATGAAGTCTTTATTATTTGCCTGAGGTTTTTGGTGCCAGTTTGGTGTAGTGGTTAAGTGCGCGGACTCTAATCTGGGAGAACCGGGTTTGATTCCCCACTCCTCCACTTGCACCTGCTGGATGACCTTGGGCAAGCCATACTTCTGGCACAGCTGTTCTTGAAAAAGAGCAGTTTCTGTCAGAGCTCTCTCAGCCCCACCTACCTCACAGGGTGTCTGTTGCGGGGAGGGGAGGGGAAAGGAGTTTGTAAACCACTCTGAGACTCCCTTGGGTAGTGAAGGGTGGGATATAAATCCAATCTCCTCTCCTCCTTTTGGAATAAACCTTGATGCCATTAACATTCAGTGCTTCAGTTGCCTGCCATAGTAAAATAAATAGAATGATATTTGATTCCAGTATAATTTATTTTGTAGGCCTCTCAGTCAAATTGATCAGAAAAAAGTGTTGCAATGCAAGAAGTCAGGCTGGCTTATAAAATTAATTCTATTATTTTCCTATATTCGCTAAAAACCAGAAATGTTTCTCTTGTTATATATAGTAGGGAAAATCCTCTTAGTCTTGCATTTGGGGGGGGGGGAGCATCAAAGTTGGCAGAATTTCAAACATAGTAATCTGTTGCCTGTCTGCTTTGCAGCAATCTGGTTCCAACATCGCTGAATAAATATAAAATTGTAATTTGAACAAAGCTAAATAGCTCAACCAAAGGCAATACTATACAGCTAAGACTTTCCCCTAAACACAGGTATGGATGTCAGGCAAACACAAGGGAGAGAATATTCCATAAATATAGTGCCACCTCTGAAAAAGCCTTCTCTTCAATCACCACCAACTTCACTTCAGAAGACAGAAGTACCTGAAGGGAAACCTCTCCAGAAGTGTTCAGTGATCAGCAGTGTTACTATGGATGGAGATGGTGTTTCATAGACCTAGACAGATGTTGAGATCAGCTTGTAAAATATAAAACACATTAAATGTGTTGTTGAGACAAATTTTATCCATGGTTACTCATAATATGTCCTGGTGTTCAGTTACAAGTGAGTGCAGCAGCCTATAATTTTGGGGGGAAAGATTTATACTCAGCAGCCTATAATTTTTGTAGCTAGTATTGGTCACTGGGAAGTAGTCTTGTATATTTCTGTCTGTAAGGATAACTGACTAACCCTGACATGTGAATTGCCCTTACAGCTCCTCCCTGGCAAAGTTAATCAGTTATTTGTCTAGGTTTTGAGGATATTTCCTGTGCCCTGTACTTGTACCAATCTTACATGTTTTGTGGGCATGGATGGACAATCCATATACTGTCCAGCTATCTACAAGTGTCCTGAAGACTGCTGCATCTTAAAAGGATGTTTTTAAGCAATGTTAAGTTGATTCTTTTTTGTAGCACTAACTGTGAGGGAAATTTTAATTCTCTTAACAAATAACAAATGTAAGTCAAAGTAGCATAAAATTAAATTACTTCCACTAAGATGGAATTCTTAAATCTCAGTCTTCTTTTGATATGCAAGTGCTGCTGGGAAGTGATGTAAAGACTCTCTTTAGCGCTAGACATATCTTTGCAAGGTCAGCTACCGTATATATAGAAGTTCCTTCTTAAATGTTTGTTCATTATTGTAAGAATTTTGGCTATATTGTAAAACAATAGTTCACTGAGTCCTTCTGGCTATATATCACTATATTCTTTTTATTACTTGGTTTTCA